TTTTCAGGCAATTTTACGATTTTTGCAATTTTCAGGAATTTTTGCAATGTTTGGAATTTTTGCAATTTTTACAATTTTCAGGAATATTTGCGATTTTTTGCAATTTTCAGGCATTTTTGCGATTTTTGCAATTTTCAGGCATTTTTGCGATTTTTGCAATCTTTGCAATTTTTAGGCATTTTTGCGATTTTTGCAATTTTCAAGAATTTTTGCAATTTTCAGGCATTTTTGCGATGTAGCATGACTAGCATGCCATCGAAATTAAAATGGAAAGGGCTACTCGAATCTGATATTCAAAATTATTAATCTTCAGAAGTAGCCATTATGATGTGTTTCTTCAGTTTTGTCCGGTTTTTGTCCTAACTTCTTTATGAACGCCAAAAAAATAAGAAATCTCGAATGAAATGAAAAATCCGAAAATTCAGTATTTTGAAAATAACTCAAAAACGAAATACCATATAGATTGTTACAAAAGAAATTTCCTTGTTTTTCAACACGCTTATATTAGCTTGGTTTGTATGTTTCTTCTATCGCTTGGAGCGCACGAAAGGTAATCCCTATAATGTTCGATGAACATCGTGCGTACCCAGGGAGGATAGGGAGAGGAGGTATAGGTATTGGATTTTTTTTCAACTTTTGGAGGTTATAAGTTCTTGGCGAGGGGTGTCTCACTTCAACAAAATGTGTACACCATATTGGATATTGTGAGATTCGAAGCAATATTGATTAGATTTGTAGCAATCCCTCAAGATTTGCAAGATTTCCAAGATTTCTCCAGATTTCTAGGGATTTTCTTAGGATTTATTGGATTCATCAAAGATTGAGAGATTCCTGAATATTCATCAAGATTCCTGGGATTTCCCAAGAATCTTCGAGATTTTCAAGATTTCTCGGGTTCCTAAGGATTCGTCAAGGATTTACGAGATTTATCAAGGATTGAGAGATTTCTGAAGATTTTCAGTATACATGTGACTGTCGAAAGTTTTGCAAGGTTCATCAAAATTGAACGTTTTTTTTTCAACATTTCAGTTTTCAAGATCAGAAAAAATTTTGATGGTCATATGGTTGACAATCATTATGTTCTTTCAAGAATAGAATACACTGTTATGAGAAACAAAAGTTTCAGAAAAGAGAAATGCTAATAACCTTCAGAAAGTATACCTCTCTGACAAAATGAAAGCGAATCCTCGTTGCCTCGCTGCCACTGACTCCAACTGGTCGAGGTCAGATTTGAAAAAAATTGAATCTCGTGACATTTTCATTTAAATAAGCAATCGCTCTTCTTTTACCGGGTCTCCACATAGTGTGGAAAAGCCTCGGGAAAAGCTCTATAGGTCCATCGAAATAAGAGACCTACACAATGACTTCATTGTACATATTAGCTCTGTCTAATAAAACGGCAAAGCTTTGGGATTCTTTGCGAAAGGAAATATTCTCAAGAACTTATACAGGGTGTCCCATTGGGAAACGGACAAACATTAACAGTGGGTCGAGCTCATCATGGTGGTTCTGAATATACCATATTTGTAGAGTCTCGCAAGTTTTATATTCGAGATATAGGGTGTTTTATTAATTTTGTTCAATTCTTTGTGAGGACATAACTCACGAACCACCCAGTCAGTATATTCATTTGGAATTTGGTACACAATTTCGACTTCTTCTATCAAAGCGACTCACCTATCAGTCACGAGAAAAACCCATCAGGACCGGATCAACGAAAATTGATCATATATCTGGACCCCAAAAATATCACCCTGTATTTTCGAATTTCCAAAATCCGCTCACATATTTGGAAAGTGCATGAAAATCTGAATCGTATGATGTACTTTCCATTTTTCCGCATGCTATTTCACTAGGTAATATCTGATTTTGAATATGAGGTTTCATGCATTTGGATAGGTAAAAATGATATGTTTTGAGTTTTCTCAATCGAATAACAAAAACCATCAAGAATCACCCAGTATATTCTTTTGGAATTTGGTACAAAAGTCCTCCTTCTTGTACCCCAGCGACTCACCTATCAGTCACAATGAAAATCCAGGTCCGGATTAACGAAGAATTATGATCTTCTGGGCCCGAAAAAGAACATCCAGCATTTTCGAATTTCCAAAATCCGAATCCATATTTGGAAAGTTCACAAACGGATGAATCGAATCGTGTACTTTTCAATCTCCCGCATGCTCTTTCACTTATTAATTTCTGATTCTGAAAACTCTAAACTTTCCATTTCATCTCGATTTCTACCTATCCAAATGCATAAAACCTCAAATTGAAAATCAGAAATTCAGTAGTGAAATAGCATTCGTGGTTCGTAAGTTATGTCCTCACAAAGAATTGGGCAAAATTGATAAAACACCCTATATCTCGGATATAAAACTTGTGAGACCCTACAAATATGGTATATTCAGAACCACCTTGATGAACTCGACCCACCGTTGAAGTTTTTCCGTTTCCCAATGGGACACCCTGTATAATCTCCAAAAGTTAAAAAAAATCTAATTAGGGAAGATGTTGGATTGAGAGATTTGCGCGTGGGATTGAGAGATTCTTGCTTGGGATTGAGAGATTTTTGCTTGGGATTGAGAGATTGTCACGATATTTTCGGGATTGGTAGTATTCGAAGAAAGATTGAAAGATTCGATAAGAGATTTATGAAATCTCAAAAATCGAGCTGTGATTTCCAAAGATTGACACATTATTTTCACGGATTGTCAGATTTGAAGAAACATTTAGGGATTCGAAGAGATATTTGTGGATTTCCAAGATTGAAGCTTGGATTGGTGAGATTTCCAAGATTCGAAGCGGATTGAAAAGGAAGTGTACACCAGATTGTCAGAGTGAGACACCCCTCGGTTCTTGGGAATACTTCCTTAGGCAATGAATTCCAGAGCTTCACAGTTCTTTCGGCAAACGCTTGACAAATGAGTTTTGATAAAGTGCCGTTCGACATATTCCAAGGTTGACAAAGTGAGGATGTGATGACTGGGCTTGTCGAGTTCGTCTGACTGGTATTGCTAGCTCGATTCCATCGTGTTTTTGACCCACTTCGAAACGTCTAATTGAATTGGAACTTCCCACATACTTATCAAGAACCGACGACAATAGCATATTTTGATAGTTTTGTTCCATTATCCTGGTCAGTTTTTTCTTCTCGAATAAAATGGTGAATTATGTGCCGCCCGAGGTGCCGCCACCAAAATTTAAAATTAACCCTTGATTATAAATAAATACTCAATGCCTTCACCAAAATTTCAAATGTTCGTTTTTAATCCATCGAATAACTACAATCATTGAGTATTCACACTATATAATCAAGGCTACAATGCATTTTTCATGTACACAGACACGGCAAAATCTTACAGCAAGTACTCGTATTAATAGTTACATCGAGAGAGACGGGTGATTTTGACCTGGATAGCTAGAAACTTGATTCAAAAACAAATATCAATGAGACAACAAGGTCCGTAACTAGAAATTATATACAGGGGGCACCGGAAAAAAATCTAGATGGTCGGGATCAGGAGCGTGTTTTCCTATTTTATTTAACTACTAATTATTTTTCATCTCACCAAATCTGTATCTCTCGTAGTTTCCAAGATGCCCATACTGGATCTCCTTAAATTGAAGTGTCTTGGACACAGTGTATATTTTCCTCGATATTTTCTAATCGTTGAAATATCCGAGGAAATATCATTGGCTCGGGTGCAGCCACAGAATACTCAAGAACAACATTGTTGAGTATTCTGTGGTGCAGCTGTGTAACTCCACGATAAATCAACCCGGACAATGACGGCATAATATCTAGACAGAGATGTATAGAAATTTAACTGGTGGGCTCACTCTTCAATTGTTTCGTCAGACTAACTCTCGATATGGAACAATTGCAAGCGAGTTTTGGACGTGGGGTTCAGGTATTTGCGATAGAGGCGCCATAATCGGAAAATCGTTCAAAACCTTGGTTCTGTGAGGGATGAATCTATTTCCATCATTGTTCTGTGGTCGAATAAATACTGTGCTCAACATTTTCATTCAAATTTCAATTCGAAATAGAAGCAAGAAATCTTTTTTGTAGCCGATTTTAATAAGCTTCACTTCTTTCATGACATGAACCTATTTAAAGCATGACATCTGATGAATTTTCTCATTGAAGAACCAGAACGAAGAATGTATCAACTATTTAAATAGACCAATATCGAAAATCATAATAGGCAGATATGGTAACTGGTACTTACCTTATTTATTCACACCAACTCACACCAACTCACACCAACTCACGCTAATATTTCAAATCACTGAAATAATACTGTTGTAGAACAGAGATTCTCTTTTTTCTATTGTGGATTAGGTATTATACACAAAATTTAGAAACTACGGAACACGTCCCTAACGAACACTTGACCCCAATCTCAGAAATAACCATTTTTTCAGCTCAAGAATATTTTAGACATATTGCCGTTTCGATTCTTTGATCAGGAATCAGTTCACTGCTCTGATCCAAATCATATACGTATCCAAATATTTATCGGTCGGTAATATGTTTCCTGTAAATATGGATTGTAACCAGGATGAGCTTAGCGAGATTTACCCACGTCAAGTATGTTTATCAAAGGTTTATCAGAGTAGGCGCCATCGAGAAACTTGCAAACGACCTTCAATAGGGAGCAAGCGCACTAGTTAAATTTCTATACATCTCTATCTAGACTGTCAGACGGGTCATCCCGTTGACCCGTCAGCAAACTCTAGATATTTTGCAGTCATTGAGCCGAAAAGCAGACGAACACACACTGTGAACAAACCTACTGTGTTTCCATCTGTCACGCCTGTCATACCGACATACCCGACAAAAATTAATGTACCCTTTCGTGATTTCGCCTTGCAGACATTAACTACCTCGCACCCGCCCACACCCACATGCTCCGCCTCCAGTCACAACGACCCGCCCCTCACACGACGCCGTCCCGCGCCATGTCCAGGTAGAAGCGACCCCGCCCCACCACTAGATGAGCGGCCCCGCAGTAGGCGGCCCCGCGGCCGTTTCCTTCCCCGCCCATCAGCAGATGTGCCCTGCCCACCAGCAGCAGTGTCCCGCCCACCAGCAGTGCGCCGCCGCGCTGCTGCACCGACCGAAGTTGGGATGCACGAGGGGCGGGGCGATGCCCTCGGTGCACGGTCGCCCCGCCTCCGCCGGGGGTGGGGCGGCGGGGGGTAAGGCGCGGCTCGGGAGTCACCAGAGGAACCTGAGCTTGGACTTCAGGTGGGTGTTTGCAAGTAACTACAGGGTGGCATTGAAATAAGTGCAAATATTGAACACAGCAATATGCTTCAGTCTAACAAAAATTCCCAAAATATCAGATTTTTCTCAAGTCTTCGAATTAACGAGTTATTTCATCTCGAAAATTGGATAACAAAATTAATGAAAAATTGAGTACGCCACTTCGTGGATATTGAATTAATGACTCAGTGGTCCCCATGAAAATTTGATGATAATGACATCAGAATTGTTACAGCGTTGCCAGATTTTTTATGGGCGAATACCTATACTAATGCCTAAAGTAATAGTCGAAAATAACTAATTGGAGATACCTACATAATGCTCATTGAAATGAGAGTTACAGCAAGAGACAATTCTATCTTTTTCTCTTGATGTACTCACAGTAACCCATTTCAAGATATTTTGCTTGCACTGAACTGGGTTTCGAAAAATAAACAGCTATTATCTTTTCATCTACGATTTAACATGAAAAAATTCATATTTACTCACCTATCGGACAAGTTCGAATCCTTGGCAATGATAATATTCAGGTATTTACCGGCTTTGACTCACATTTTTTGAGAATTGTTTACATGTCTTCACAGCCTCCATCATTCCTGATGATGAAATATCAATAATATTATCATGAATGCAGGTATTTTTCAGGGTACTTTTTCTAATTCTTCATTAACTTTCCTGAGAATAACAGACCATAAAATAAACAAGAATTGACAGACTTGACATATCTATTCATATTTTTCCTGGAAAATTTTCAGTTCTGAAAAATTTAATTTTGTCGCATTTTTTACGGAAGCACCCCCGTATCTTACGTAATTATTGAGGTAGGGTTCTGAAATTTGCAGGAGGAAGGGAAAGTCCAAAGATAAAGTCAATTACGTAAGATACGGGGGTGCTTCCGTAAAAAAAGCGACAAAATTTAATTTTTCAGAACTGAGAAATGTTTCAGGAAAAATATGAATAGTTAGTGAATTGGGCGTCCTGATTCCGAATCCGAAGTGAATTTCAACCTATTTTGACTCCTAATATCATTTTCCGGAAATTAGGGTGGTTCCATGGCTGCTGGCGAGCAGTGTATATATCACTGAAGATGACCCCACATGGTCATAGAGTGCCTTTTTGGTATATCTCTCGCTCCAGCGAATTTCAGGATCCTTACCCAACGATTACGTAAGATACAGGGGTGTTTCCATTAGAAGTGGGTCACACTGTATATGTTTTCTAATAAAGATACGATAATCGGCCAATTAGGCCGATATTACCGATAGAACGATATAAATATCTGTATCGTTATCGGTCCTTGGTGGATTCCTAGTGGATATGGATAATTATTTTCACTATCCGTTGTTCTATTACCTTTTTTCCCGTAGGAATGTAGCATTTTCTTTCTAAAAAGTAGCCAAGAGATAGAAAGTGATTGAAAATAATTTTTATGGCAACTTTTGATGAGGTTTAACGCGAGATTTAACGGGTTGATATTGTTTTTTCCAAGGTTTTCTCTATGCAAGTTATGCGATGTCTCGTATACTTGTAACCATAAACTTTTTATTAAAATACGGTTGTCTTGGTTAGGTATGTGTTCTCAGATTTTGGAACCTTTTTTGAATGTCTTTCCGACCTAGTATTTTGCCATCATCGATGTTTTTTAGAAATCCCAATGAGAAATATCGTCAGTTCCACTTATTCGAAAAGTTGAAGACCTAAAAATTCATTGAAGCTATTTGTATTGTATTGGACGAGCTATAGGATTTTTTTGCATTTCCTTATAATTCTTGGTAATTTTTAGTACTCGATTCGTTGGAATTCTTCGAAACTGAACGAACCATTCTGTTGTGTAAGCACTTTACAATTTCTCAGTAGACAACAGTAGACAATAAAATGATTAAGTGATCTATTTTGATTTCCTGCAAGATTTCCTGTTGATTTACACACAGAGACAAGAGCAGAGGACAGAGTATGGACAATAAGAATTGATAAGAATACAGGGTGATCCTAAAAGGTCTCTACAAAATCTTAGCACATATTCCTGAGATCAAAATGAGCCTTAAAGCAACTTACCTCAGTCAGAAATGGTCCCATTTTCGAGATACAGGGGGGCGGTGAAGTTGAAAAATTAAAAATGAAAGTACACTCCAAAAAAGTATTTTGAGAATTCCATTTCTGCAATGATAATTCACTGACAAAATTACATCCACGAACTCGTCCACGTAGATAACAGCAAGCATTTTTTATTCAAATTCAAATAATTTGAATATTCTGGTGCGGCATCGAGAAATATATATATTATATATATATATATTGAGAAAAAAGTTATGGCCATTCTGAACCATAAGAAGTGCATTGGGAAGTGCCCTCTAATGGCCACAATGAAAATGTGTCATAATCAGGTTTGTTTCGCATCTAAAAAAAAACAGTTTTTTCCACATAGCTCTGTACATTTTTAAAATTAATATATATATATAAATATATTGATAAAGTGAATTTCAGCTTTATTTCGTAACATGGAAAGCGCGTGACGTAATCATCTGAAAAAATTCGACATACGTATCTATCCTCTATTTCTGTAAGACAAGTGTATTTCAATCAAAATATGAAAAAAGTTCGTCTCTTCACAAGGTCCTCGCCCTAGACTCTAGTGAATTTTTTGGACTGATTACTTACTGCAGATAACGGAGAATACAACACACAACTGAAGAATCAGATAATAGGAGGAATATCTTTGAATATTCGCATCTTCACTGGATTAAACAAGGATTTGAAGATGAAGGTGATCGTATCAAATACTATACGGAATGATCAATATGAACTGGGTTTTGTGGCGTAAATTCGACTAGTGTGTATAACTCCAATTTTGGAGTACCTAATAGGTACGTTTTGAAACATTCGATTTTTATTTTTCAAGCTCTACCACCCTGTAATTCGGAAACTGAACAATTTCGGACTGAGGTGAGTGGTTTTATATCGGCTTATTTTGACCTCAGGAATATGTGCTGAGCTGTTGTACAGCCGTTTTAGGGACACCCTGTATAATTTCCGAACTCAATCTGTAAGATTCTTCCTAGCGGTTTTGTATGCTATTATTTTTTCAATGCCAACACAGAGGTTAACTCGTTCAGATAAGCAAAATATAAATGCGCCATTCCATCAATATGCATTTCAAGCGTCGTGCCTGATGTGAGCGGAATTTTTCCAAATTATCTTTCAACAATCTAATTGTTTACTCTATGTTTTTCATTCAAGGAAGGACCTTGGGAAGGATGCACTGTAATCCTGGTTATCCTACAGTAGATAAATGAATTACGTCAGGTAAACAAGAATATTTTTTCTGTGGCGGGAAAAAAGTTTGGCATCTCATCTCTGTTGGCAGGTTATAAAATGTCACTTTTCATAAATTACTTTTCTTCCCGTGGGAAAAAAGTGAGTATTTTTTTCCCGGATATATAGCACATATACAGGGTCGCTGATATGTATGGAAACAGGTGAATATCTCGGCAATCTGTCGTTAGATTTTTTTGAATTTATGTACAGTGTGATTTCAAAACGTGGCGAATTTGAAAATGTTATAGCCTCTGTTGCCACTTTTTCAGTTACTCCGGATTTTTAGTAACTTCCTTATTTTGAATGAAACACCCTGTACTTTATTGGATTTCCAGATTCTCCTTGAAGAGCTGATTCCATCGATCTATCACACTTGGGGTCGAGCGGCAATGATTACATAGGTATAGGGTGTTCAAAATCTAGGTTTTTCAACTTCAAGATTTTTTTGTGTAGAAACTATCCATTATCGATCAAAACCGCTTCAATGTTCCTATCTTCACTTCTGATTTACCATCTACTGACTATTTAATTGGAACAGATACAGAGGGTGATCAGAATTCTGAATCTTGAACCACCCTGTATTTGTTTCAATTAAATGTCAGTGGATAGTAAATCAGAAGTAAAGATGGAAACATTGGAGCGATTTTGATCGATAATGAATAGTTTCGACACAAAAAAATACTAAAGTTGAAAAATCTAGATTTTAAACACCCTATACCTATGTATTCATTCCTGCTAGACCCCAAGTGTGATAGATCGATGGAATTAGCTCTTCAGGAAGAATCTGAAAATCCAATGAATTACAGGGTGTTCTATTCAAAATAAGGAAGTTAATAAAAAATCCGGTATAACTGAAAAAGTGGCAACATTGGCTATAACATTTTCAAATCTGCCACGTTTTGAAATCACACAGTACATAAATTCAAAAAAATCCAACAACAGGTTACCGAGATATTCACCTGTTTCCATACATATCAGCGACCCTGTATATACACTGTTCATGGCTTTTGTTGTGCTATATAGTTTCGAAAAATGAGTCAATAATACCATCTCCGAGAAAGAACTGCAAGTCCTTCTATCTTCCATTCGACTTCGTGGTAACGTATATTACTAAACAACCACTAAATTCGCAATTTTTTGAAATCAAATCACAGAATTTGACTGACAGAAGTGAAATCAGATATTTGATTACTTCAAAAGAATGATAAAGATGCCTACAACGCAGGTGTCCCTACTGTTAAAAACTTGAAATTTCACGTCGATAATTTTCAGATTTCAAAATAATGTAATATCTTCTCAATATTGATTCGTCCTTCCTTCTGTAACAGAAAAAATAGTGTATTATACACAGGAAACATATCAGATTTTAGCTCACGGTTTTTTGTCTCCCTCCGCTACGCGTCGGGAGACAAAACAACTTGGAGCTAAAATCTGCTACTTTTTCCCCTTGTATAATAAATAACTATTTATACCGGACCGGGTGACATAGGAGACATGTAACAGCCTGTAGTTTTTTTATTTGAAGAGAAAAAAAATTTGAAATTTACAAAGGTTTTGATGATAGTGCTTCCCTTGAACCCAATGACAATTTTCTTCAACCACCTGTGATTGGAAGTGGGCCCAACTTTTTTTCTAATGGCACCCTGTATATTTCTATAGCCTATCTT